CTTCACAGTCAAGTTACTTTTTTAGAAATGTTAATAAGGGAATTAGTTGTTGTTAGAGTCGAAATGAGACTTATTTTTTTTTTTTTCAAAACCAAATCACAACACTTGTACTTTTTTACTGCCAAATTAATTTTTTAGAGTTATTAATAAGAGAATTTATTATTTTTTTTGAATGAAAAGTTGTTGTTAAAAAAGTATATAATATACACATGAAGGATATTTTTATCTTTTCACACCAAAAGTAGATACTTTGATCTTATAGAGTAAGATCATAATCATTTGGTCTTATTGTGTAATTAATTGTCTTCAGAAGTTCTTGATTATGATTTTTTCTTGTAATTAATTGCATGGTGGCATTTAGTTTTTTTTCCCCCATGTCATGTTTGCTGCCACGTCATTTGTAACACTCTAAATTTTCACACAAATTTTTTACAATGTAATAATTTAATGAACTATTTTAATAATATTGAACTATTACCACAATAGAAAATAATCTACCATGATAATTAAGTGTAACACTCCCTTTTAAAACATTACCATGGTAAATACATGTTTACCATGGTATAAAGGACTTTAAGTATAAATTTCAAACCATACCGTGATAGAAAATAGACTATCATAATAATTTGAAGAAATTAAATCATTTATCATAAAAATATATTATGATAGAAAGAATCAAATATACTAAAATGACTCTACTATGGTAATAAAGGAATTATTTATCTCAAATAGTACCTAATGGAATCCCATGAAGAAAGGTGGAAAATTATTAGTAAAACAATCCACAAACACGTTAAAGCATGAAGCATGGTTCCCAAAAGCTAATTTATCTAAAAAACCAATTTATAAAGGGGCAGAAGGAGCATAGGGACCACTTCAAATGAACTATCAAAAATAAGAAATTTTTGAAAAAAAAATTGTGATATGCATCGTAGCTCATTGAACTTACGTCGTGGTGCACAACTATCGTAAAACCTGAACTTACCACACACATAACTTTCACCACACAACTCTCATTTGAGTGATTTAAGTATTCACGTGAAATTTATTTTAAAATCTAGTTAAGAGCTTTGGTTTGGTATCAAAACTCCTCTGTATGAAGAGTTGATTCACTAAAATGCAATTTGAAACAAAACACCATTTTCTCAAATACCAAACACTTTTAAACCAAAAGCCTCAAAAAATAGGTGAAACACTTGACCAACTCAAACATTACATAACCAATGACCTTTCATGATCACTTTACATATGCATGAGGTATTTCTTATAGTTGGGTTGCAGCTGTTGAACACGATTATATATGGGATTTGCAACATAGATGTGAAAACACAATATCTTTCACTTAAAAACTCGAAAGTCACTAACCATAAATTGGAAGCCATCAATATCACTAAAAATTAACCACATGGCAATTAATTACAAGTTTTCACCTAAAATGTTATAGTCACATATTAATAGTAGTTACCTTAATTCTTTGCTATTAAAGCTCTTCGTACAAGAGCACCTTCACCCTTTTCAATACGTCTACCACAATTTACATACCATATAATATTGTCAATATAATGTTAAGTAATACTAATCAAATTGTTAGCACATGAATCACACCCTAATCCCATGGTTAGGTTAAGTAACCTAGTTAATTCAAGGTTGTCATCACTACTTAAAACTTTAAATAAAATTATAATCATTCTCGTTATACCTCCTAATCACTTATTTAACCTTTATAAAATTCAAATCATCCTATAATCACCCTACCAAGTCTAGTGTTTCAAAATCCACCCATTCAAAATCATAAATAACCTCAAAACCACATAAGTTATATTGATTTAACTTAAAACAAATTTTTGATTCAGACTCAGGAATTGGGTTGCTTAAAAATTAGAACCCTAGCTTCTTATAACTAGAAAAATAGCCTAAAATGAAGAAAATGGGATAAACATGAGATTAAATGAGTTTACCTTGACTATAAAATGCCTAAAATCGTGCACAATGAATGCCTTTCACCAAACCCTAGCAGAGCTCATTAATTTCACTCAAACCCTAGCTGCTACTTCTCCCTTCTATCTAATTTTTGGATTGGGAGATTAAGTGCATATTTGTGCCGTGCACAGCAGTGTGTGTAACGTGCATCGCAACATGCAACACAAAAACACTGCACTTAATTTAATCCCACTAATCTTGAAATAATTTCTCAATAACACCTTAATTTTTTTAATAAAATTATTATTAACAATCTAGGATGTTACGCCATTCATTAGAACACAGTGAGGCTGCTCAATCGATTTAAGGGACTCGTTTCCTAACTATTGCTAAACTATTATTATTGGTGTAATATATTATTTTTTTTAAAATATATGACAAAGTTGATTAACTTCATATAAGGGTAGAATTAAAAAAATAATATTTTTCACAATTTTAAAATTATAATCAACATTTCTTAATTAATAAGTATGAAGTTTACAAGAAATAACCACAATAAATTATTGTATAGGAATTCAAATGACAATAGCTCAATAAAAGGTAAATATGAAAAAAGATTAATTACTCTAATATTATCTTATATTAATAATAAAAATATTTTAAATTTTGACTTTTATACTCTATATAATTAATGATTTTTGAATTTTTAAAAAACGGATGATGAAAATAATATAAATTATTGGTACTCATTAATTAATTAATTTTCCTAACAGGTTTTAAATAGTCCTGAGATGAAGCTTCCAAGAAAAATTATGCTCCACAAAAATCTTTTCATAAAAAAATAAAATTTAAAAAGGATCTGATCATAATTGTGAGAAGATCTCATCACAATAAAATATTTATTTTTTTTTTTTCACTGAATGTCTTGTCTCTTGCCCACATGCAATATAATTTAACGTGTTTGGTTGGTCAAAAAAAAAAAAAAATACGTGTTTGAGTTTTAGAATGGACTGTTGATATTTATTTGATGGACCCCGCAGACACTGAGGGAACTGAATCTTCTCCCATAATCCCACCCAAAATAATCTTCCAAGGTGATCAAGCCTGTGTGAAATCTAATTAATATTTTTTCTATTTAAAAATATAAAATATTTTTTAAAATGTTAAATATTTAAAATATAAAATATTTTTAATTTTTTAAAAGGATAATCATTATTTTTTTAAAAAAATAATTTTTTATTAATAATAATTTTATATTTATTATATGATATTTAATAGAAATAAATATAAAAAGATAAAATTAATTTAAAATTAAATAATTTTTTTATTAGAGGATAAAATTCGATTAAAAGTATGTTATATTTTTACACAGTGTGAGAGAGAGAGAGTATGCTCCTTTTATTTTTGAATTTTAAAAAAAAGGCAAATGCATATTTTTATTTTTAAAGTTTCCTCCGAGTAGTACCTGCTACCTTAAAGCAGTCCTTAGAGTATTTTTAATTCTAAAGTTTTCGCCTAACGTGGAACTCTTGACTATTCCTATTCCTCTCTCTCTCTCTCTCTCTCTCTCTCTCTCTCTCTGCTTTACACGCACCCACAAACTCACTTTCCTTCAGTGCATCTCTCTCGGTCTGTGTCAATGGCCTCTCTGGATCAAACTCATGAATCGTGCCTCTCCTTTTCGAATCACAGTCAATATCTTCAGAGCATCACTATCCTTCAGTGCATCTCTCTCAGTCTGTGTCAATGGCCTCTCTCGCTCGAACTCATGAATCGTGCCTCTCCTTTTCGAATCGCAGTCAATCTCTTCAGAGCATATTCAATCTCTCCTTAGGCGGCGGAGATGGGGACTGAGAAATTCCTGAAGTCACTGCCGTCCCGTTCCACTGGGGCCCATCCTCATCGTCCCCAACCTCGCCATGGCCTTCATCCCTGTGGTCATATTTCCCGGCATGCTCATACAATTTAAAACAAAAATAATTATATATGATAATTATGTTTAAAAACAACAAATAGATTAAATTATCCATATAGGCTGTAATTAATAAAACAAATTTGTCAAATAAAATAAACATTAACTTTATGAGGGACAATTTAACAAAAAATGATAAATACTCCTTGAAATTTATAATTTTATTTGTAAACAAAAACAAAAAATATGATAATTTTGTATATTAAAAAATGGAGTAGTATTAGCCAAGGAACCAATGGATACATAGAAAACCAAACAAACATACGAGACAGTGTACCTCATTCAACCTTAGTCACCAAGTCACATTGAGATAGTCAATCTTTTTCTGTATACTTTTTAGAAAAGTTATGCCGCTTTTTATGAAAAACACAAAATAAACATATAAGATAGAAATTGTGTACCTTACCCAACCTGAGTCACCAAGTTACATTGAAACAGTCAATCTTTTTCTTCATACTATTTTAGAAAAGTTATGACGCTTTGTATGGGAAAACACAAAATAAATTAGAGTTCGAGGGAGGACCTAACTTATTTAATATTATCTTATTTTAAATTGTGAGACATTTTCAAGAGAAATTCAGTATTTTAAAATATAAAATATTTTAATAAAAATAAATTTTTAATAATAATATTTTTTTAATATTATCATTCTTATATATTCTCTCTATTTAATATTTTTTATAAATAAAATATTAAATAAAAAGTATTTTTTAAAATTTATATTTTTATTTTTAAAAATAAAATTATAAAGTATATTTAATAAATTTTATTAGTACATGTATTATTGTTCAAAGGTGTTTTGTAGTTTTAAAAAAGAGAAAGCAATTATTATTGAGTCTATCATCTTTTGATAATAATTGTTTTTCTGTAAAATTTGAATATAATTTTTTTGATAAATTTCCAACATTGGAAACTTTTTTTTTTTTAAAAATAACACCAACAACGGAGACTTTCCCGGAAAATAGTCCCCCCCCCCCCCCCCCCCCCAACATGAACATTTAAGACGATTTTGGACTTCTGGTGCCATCGTTTACTTTTGAAAGCTACCGGTACTAGTGTTTTTCTGCAAGCAGGTTAGTTGGACCCCACAAGAAAGGTAGAAATCCGACTCACAAACAAACACATACATAATTGTCCAGCTGTTCAAGTTGATTTGGACCCCACAATCCGACTCACTCGCAGCCGCAGGAAGTGAAGTTCACTGTTCGATCCCCGCATTCAGGCACCACATTAACCGCCGGAACTGAACATGTTATCCCACTGGCTGATCATACCATTAATACCATTAAATGATGACTTACGCAACTTACAACCACTAGCTACCTGTCACGGGTCCAGTGTGGACCATCGCACATGAAGTATGGTTTCGATGGCTTTGAGGCATCACGCTTGATTGAGGGTGGTCTATCCTGTCTAGAACTCCCACCAAAAAATTTACCACCATCCTTACGATCGGAATTCTTCTTTTATCCTCCTTTGTCTCCTCCACTGTTACCAAGATTAGGCTTTTTGGACTTGGTGGAGTAGTCGATTATGCACTCAACAGCAGCAATTGCCTCATCTAGAGTTTGCACTTTGCGTCTATCGAGTTCTACTCTCGCCCAGTCTTTAAGTCCGTCCATGAAGTATAAAAGAGCCTCCTTGTCGGACAGGTCCTCGATCTCGAGCATGATGGTAGTAAACTCTTTAATGTAGTTAGGAATACTACTAGTTTGTCTCAACCTACGAAGCTTACCTCGAGCCTCTGTCTCAGCATTGTGGGGAACAAAGTGCTTGTGGAGTTCTGACTTGAACAGCTCCCATGTGTTGAGAGTGCAGATGCCCTTCTCTCGCTCAGCATGCTTTCTGCGCCACCATAGTTGGGCTGCATTCCGGAGAAAAGTTGAAGCATTGTTGATTCTGATCAAGTCGTTAGAGACTCTTATGGCCTCGAAGTACTATTCTAGGCCAAAGAGAAAGTTCTCCACAATCATGGCACTACGTGCCTCATTGTACATGGTCGGCTTGGGCACTTTCAGTCCCTGAAAAGTGGCATTTGAAGTACTACCACTAATAGGGCTACTCACACAGTGATGAGATTTCCATTCATGATTAATCTCATCCATTTGAGAGCGTAGACCTCGCACCTCATCTCTTACATATTTGTGGAGATCAGCGAGATCACGTCTGAGGGAACGAATGTCTTCCCCTAAATCATCGTTAAGGTCTGCAATCATTAACTTGGCAGCCCGCGTTATCTCACCATTCTCTTGGATGAAATTGTTGAGTTGATCGTTGAGTCTCCCTATAGTAGTTCTCACTTCCTCCATGTTAGATTCCAAGCTAACAACACGAGGTTCAAGGAACTCACTTGCAGGTGCCCTGCTCCGGCCTTGCTCTCGCTTGGACCTGGGGTGAGCTTGCTCCTGTTGTGCATGAGCTTGCTCCTGTGCTTCCGTGCCAACGATGTTTCCTTCCTCAGTTGCCATCGTACAATACATTCCTTCAAGCACAACGGTAGAATCGAGCTCTGATACCAACTATCACGGGGCTAGTCTTTCAACCCGTGCGGCACTTAGACAACCTTCACTGGAAGTTGCTAAGTAAGCCTAACTCGTATGAAAGGAGGATGCTTGGTTAAGTAGAGAAAAGGGAAAGCTTGAAGGCAAAGGAGAGTAGAGAGAGTTTGGAGAGTGTGAGAGTTTTATTACTTTAAGAACTCAAGGATGATTTACAAATGAAGAGGGGTGAGGTATTTATAGGCCTCCCCTTGGATCTAGAATGTTCCTACCTCCTCAATGGACGGTGGAGATTAAATCTATCCTACGGTTATAATTGATTCTCTAGAATTCTCTTAACAAATATCTAGATATTTAAATGGAAGAATCTAGAAACAATATTAAAATATTGAGGCTAGAGTTGTGTGTGTTTCTCTAGAATGTTCTTGCACTCTCTAACACTCTTAAGGTTAGCTGAGAGCCTTCTGGAGAGTTCTAAAACATTCCGGACCTTGTGAAAAATGACGAAACGTGACATACCGCTGCTAATAATATTGACGACAACACAGATGAGATCATCATCAGAAGCTGTCGATCTTATTCTAAGTTTGATCTTTATCGATCTTCCGTCAAAGTTAAAACACAGAAACTAGAAACCACACGATGATCATTCTTAGCCCTGATTGATGAAAGAGACAATAGAGTTGAGCATGGCCACGGCATTGTCGCAGGTCGGATTGTAGAGATGAAACACATGGTTCTCGTCCTTTGCTTCCATTACATCCACCACTCCCTTCCACCCGCTCCTCTCCACAACTTCCTTGTAGTACCATCCTCTCTCCTTCAACATATCCTTCTCTGCAACACAAACCATTATCTTTCTGCAACCCAAGCTTCCCACCTTCGGATCCTTCGCAGGGTTCAACATGGTGTCGTCCGATCCTTCCGTCGTCGGGCACGCGAAACGCCACAGATTATCCAAGAAGGATCTCTCCCTCGCTCCTGTCTTCTCCGACCCTCTTGGCTCCACTCCCCAGAAGTACGGATGGACCAGAACGATCCCTTCCAGATTCAAACCCGGTAATCCTTCCGTGCCGACGCGGATCGCCATGTGGTGTGAGATGGTCGCTCCGGCGCTGTCTCCGGCGAAGAATACTCTCTTGAAATCCACCTGACGGTTGAGTAGGTCCTCGGATCCGTTCCCGCCGGCATGGGAAGCGACCCATTTGAGAGACGCCCAGGAGTCTTCGAAGGCAGCCGGAACGGGGTGTTCTGGAGCCAATCTGTAATCAACGGAGACGGCGACAACGTTGGCCGTGGACACGACGGAGTTGAGGTAGTTGTGGTACGCTGAGTTGAAGGGAGTTCCGATGACATAGCCTCCGCCATGGAAGTAGACGAGGAGAGGAAGCTTGTGGCTGGGATCGATGATTTTGGGAGCGAAGAACCTGGCCGAAATGGGGGTTTCCTGGGAGATGACAACGTCGTGGGACCGGACGTTAGTGTTAGGGTCGTCGAGGGATGGAGGAACGAAGTCGGAGCCTAAGAGTCTCTCAACGCGACCATCTTTATAGACTTTGAGCATAGGGGAGAAGTCGTGGGCTACTTCTGCGGAGCTGGAATCCATGGCGGAGACTCTGACAGTATTATCTTGAGGATAGTTAGCAGGATGCTGAAGAAATATGATAGTTAGCTGGAATCCATCGCTTGGTACTCTGGTAGGTGGTTGCTGCGGCATGCGGGGTTGGCTGTATTAAATGATCTTTGTTTTCCCTTATTTTTTTATTCTTTTTTAAAAAAAAAAAATTGATTGAAAACTGGATACTTTGTTTCGTAAAGAATGTGTACAAAAGAATATACAATTACAGATAAATTAAAAAAGCAAAAACCAGAAGCCACCCCAATCAAGCTATGTGAGGTTGGTCATGCGAGTTAAAATCATTAATAAAATTAAAAGCTAACTTAATTAGGTAATCAATTATCCTATTATCATCTCTAAATCAAAAATGAAATTGGACAACCTAATCTCTAATCAAAAGCTTTTTGGTTGAATCAATAATATATTAAAAATAATGATAATTATGGCTCTTGAGATTGTGAAAATAGTGTTCACATAATCACAAAAGACCTTTACAATCTTAAAACCTTTCTTTTAACAAATTTTAAGACCTTTGAAAATATCATAAATTTTAGATTTAGAAATAGTAGGCAGTAGTTTGCTCACTTTGCAGTTAAAATCCAAAATCCAATCTCCAGTAGCATCTTTCATAACACCTCCATAAGCACTATTCTCATACAAAAGAGATGAGCCATTTGTTTCCAGTCGAATAGCACAAGAATTCTTGTGAAGCTGATAGTCAACCTGCCTTAAAAGAGTATGTGAAGGTAATTGTTATTTAAATTTAAATCAGCAACTACTTTAAAGAAATACAGTTAGGTTCTTCCCTTACCCAAGTTTCTCCCTTTTGAAAAACATATCTACGCCTATCTTTTCAGATATCCCAGTATATATAAGTAAAGAGGTTGTCCCAAGGTACATTTTGAACAAAAGATTTACTCACATTTGTCTTCATATTCCAATTTAGTTAATCCCACCTATTTAAGCTTTGAAATTTGTCCCATAAATCTAGTCTGATGAACTCTCGCCACCAATGCTTGGCATATTGGACATAATATCTTATGATATTATGTTTAATTTAAGTTTTGATGGTGACAAATATAGATTAGTTAATTAAATATATTATTTTTTTCATATATATATAGCGGTCAACTATAAGCATGAAACAAGTGCTTTAAAGTGTCTTTACTTATATTATTTTATATTATGTGATTTTCAAAAAAATGGTTTATGTGCATGAAAGATATTTTATATTATCATATTTTTTTCTTATCCTAAAATGAGTACATATCCAAGAGTATTCAAAATGTTATTTTTTATAACTTGGATATTTACATTAGATTTACTTAAAGTGAAGTTATGTTATTAATACTTGAAGATTATGCTTTGAATCAAGAGTTTTAGATATATTTGGTTTTGACCTTTATTCAATTTTTTCTCTATATCTCTTAGTATACAATTCAATTTGATATGAAACTTCTTTCATTTGAAACTAGACTTGTATAGGTTTCCAAAGACATATATTTAATTCAAAATGGATTTGATATGAAATATCTATGAGTTTTCAAATTTGGGTGTTAATGTGTCTAAATCTTCAAAAAAATGCTACTGATCTTTCCCTCTGCTCTAATCAACGTCTGAACCTGTAAAATAGTAACTACAGAATGAGATAGAGTCTTAGTAACTAAAATAGTCTAAATCTATCTATTAATAAGTAAAATTATTACATATGTAAATAAAATTTTAATCATTACCAATCATATTACTATATATATTCATATTCACAAATAATTATATTTGCATGCATGATCATCATATTCCACCTACGCTCCACATCTAACCTGATTGAACCCATAAGCTTAATTAGACTAACTTTGTGTAAATTGATCCGAGTACACTTTCAGTGGTAGAATCACCATGCCAAATGTGTTTTGTCCTACTTCTAGAGTATGGATTCTTCTTATTGCACACACAATAAACGTATCGTTATTCTAATATTGCATCTCACAAATGCTAAGGAGTATAGTTTCAAACACCGTACTTGTATGAGCACTAAGGAAAGAAATTCTCCAACATCGCACCCCTTAGGGCATTAAGGAGATATAGACTTTCACACTACTCTACTTAGGGTGAACTTTCAGCCTCTATCATGATAATACCTTTTCACATAATATACAATGATATATCTACATGTGTATAAAATAGTTTATTTATCATTTAGCTTTTGAAACAACTTCCTTTAGTAATTTATTTTATAAGTTAAATCCCTTTCCCATTCTAAATCATGCAAGTTTCAAATCATATCAATAAACAATATTATACATCATACTACATAAATTTACTAATAAACAATTAAACTAAGTAATAAATATAATAAATTATTCAATTACCTTAACCCTTATATTTATAAAAAAGAGTTACCTGTGGTGCTCTTTATGTAATATTTGTCTTGATATCACCAAAACATAGCACACAACACTATCATGAAACACTATCATGATAATTAAAATTAAGCAAATCTCTATATTAGGTTACTATAATAGATGAGGGTTTAAAATCAAGTTAAAAAGTTAGGATACCAAAAAACTCTTTTTAAAAGATGTTTGACATCAAACAATAGTTTAAAATATGATTAAAGAAAATATGAAAGCATGGAAAAGGAAAAATATCATCAAAAAATATCAAATAAGTGCAATTTGGACATGTTCTAAACTGCCCATCTGTTGTGGTGCAAGTATCATCCACTACGGTGTATAGTATAGAGAGGGAAGGCCTTGAAAAGCCTTTAGTTGTATCAAACTTATTAAAGAAACTAGAATATAGTTGAGTACACCTTAAGTCATTAAAATCTTAAAAGAGCAAGTTTAAGCAACCAAAGATAATTCATAAACCTTTTTCACAAGCTTAAAACAATGTTAGTTTTGAAAAGAGTTCAGGGTTTAAAATGTTTATAATTTTTAAATTTTATAAAAAATTATGAAATGAAGTGAAATTGACTTAACCAAGCAAATAAGTGAGTTCTCTAAGGTTTGAATTTACTTTCACCATCATAGAATCCTAAGTTCAATTCATTTTGTTCTTGCAATTCATTTGATCTTAAGCAAATGTCTAATCACCATTAGAACTAAGTGACTACGGCTTAAACCAAGACGCAATCCCTTTAAAAATTATGCCAAACTATAAGTTGATTCTAAAATTAGATCTTGCCTTGCCTTAACCATGTTCTAACACTTAGAACCAATCAAGAATTAAGCAATTGACTTCAATTTAAGACCTAAACAGAAGCTAAATGGTTCTAAAATCACCACAAGGATTGGATAAATTAGCATTTACACAACAATAACTATTGAAGCATAAATTTAAACATATAGTGTGTATCATCCCATTTAAGAATTAAATCATAACATCTAATTCTCTTAAAGGAATGAAATAATCTAGAGAATTCAATCTAACCAGAACTAAATCATCAAGTCAATAGCATCAATAAAATAAGAAAAATTAGAGGTGAATCATAGTAAAACCAAAAATGAAAATGAGCTAAGAAAACTCAAATGCAAGTCTTATCTCTCTTGAAGAATTCCAGAGAAAATTTGGTTGCTCATTTCGATCTTCCTTAATGAATAATTAAGGAAGATGCCAGTGAGTCTTGCCATGGACGTTCGCTTCAGGAATCCATGAGTTAAAGTATTCGGTTTGAACTCAAAAGAGATGAGTGATCTTCTGCATGAAGTGGCAAGCTTGCGTGATGACTGTGTAAGTGTCCGAACTCTGTGGACTAAGGAAAGATGAGCAATGGCAATAAATCTGTGCGTTATACTTTACATTTGGGGCAAACTGCTGCTTTGAACACTTATAAGCTATGTTAATCCACACAATTTAGCATTATATCAATTACAAATTGACCATAAGTACTTATTAACATAATTAAACCAAATCAAGCTTACTTAAACGCTTAATCACTTCCACTTGACAATCTTAAGTCCTTTCAAAAACATTTTACAACGTCTATTACATTCTTAATTTAAGTTAAATTGAGCTTATAACCTTAAAGCTCAACCATTAATTATTAAACTAGTAATAAAACTCCACTTTAACTCTCAATAGCCCTTTTATAAATATTGAGTTAAAAAATAACTCTTCAATTCAATTTTTCTATATCCAATACTAAGATAAATTAAGGTAGAATAGGAGAGTAATGTGATACGAAACTTACTTGTTAAGTGAAAGGTTGGAACTAACCCTCCATGCTCCATAACTTAATACCCTAACATAGCATATATTCTTCTCCCTCTCTTTTATGTGTTCTTCCTTTTTTCCTCTCTGAAATTCAAGCTAATCCACGTACTAAAAAGTAACTTTATGTACCATACACCTAGTGCATTGTGCATATCTCATGGCGTGCGGCACGATAAGGGAAGTTTCATTGTGGCTTACACACTTCACTCTGGATTGTAATTCTTCCACTTGATCCTAACAATACAATTAATCACTTACCTAAAATGTCAATTCTCCTTTTAAAATCTTGATTATTCAATTAATTTACTAATTTAATAATTTATCTTTAATTAGTAATTAGTTTTCATATTTATAATTCAGGATGTTACAGTCAGCTATTCCCACAATGCCCTTACCACCTTGATTAACATTTTTTTATTTGTCTTTTCGTCGTCACTCACCCATTGTAGCTTTTTTCATGAAATGGGGTATAGATGTACTTGGTACCCCCTCTTCTTCTAAGTTGGCTAATGCTTCAAACCTTGATGCATACTTTTCTTACCCATATGACCATGTGCTTGTGAAAAAGATCTTTATACACAAATGTCATCTATCTAGGTATATAGGGTTGCCTTTTGTTTTTTCTCTATTATACTGCTCTCAGGCTTTAACAATAGGCAATCCTCTTTCTTATGACCATATTGGCCACAGTTAAAACAAATCATATCTAGTCCCTCATATATGACTATGAAGAGAGTTTCTTGTTTAGATTAACTTCCAGACTCACACAAGCAAATCTACCTATTTCCATCTTCGATGACTAGCCATTGGTCTTGACCATAGTGTTTCTATCAATTTTAAGCACTTTGCCAATTTTATTAACCAATAAACACAACATTTCCTCAGTATAACAGTGCATAAGCAGAATAGGTATTCTCACCCATATAGTAATGTTTTATACCTTGTTGTTGTAAGGGTTGAAATTTAGGCTTTACCATTGCATTACCAAGTAATGACCAGGATTGATCATGGACCCTCATTCAAGAGACGCAATCACAACTACTTTATTTTTTAAACACAGGGCGAAGTAATTGTTCTCTATATCTACCATTTCAAAGTCTGTAATACCTAACAAAAACTCAAGTTTCTTCCCCATATCTTCTGGCCATATCCTTTTCCCCAGTAGAGTAAGGATCAAAGCATCCTTTAATGGTAGACATAACTTCTTCCACTCATCATCAGTCATATCAATCTTAGGAATTTGATTAGAAAGTTTCTTTTGATCCCTTGTTAACTTAGGGTATAGCTTTGCTTCCTCTTTCAGCCATTTCTTAAAGAGAGACTCAAAGTCTTACTTAACTTTCACATTATCCTTCTCTACTAAAGAGTCTTTGATGAAATCTGTGACCATTGTTTGATGTTTGTTCCATAGAAGCCTTGGGTATCATTGAGGTAGTCCCACCACCTTCAACCATCTCTACATCTTTATCAGATTGTCTTTCAATCTTTGCTGAATCGTTAGCTTGTTCTTACTACGTGAAGAAGCATCCTCCTTATCCTTAGTAAGTCTGCTTCCTTAAGCACATTTTGACAAACTAGTAGAAGACGCTCTACTAGCACTCGAAGCCCCATTCTCTCTCACCGTGTTTCTCACTGATCTTGCTCACCTTAATTTTTTATTAACCACATTTTAAAAAAATTTCTTAATCTTTTACGTAAGTCATTTTCTTAAGTTTTTCATAATTTTTAATGCACAATCCCCAAAATATTCTCTAATAAATTAAAAAAAATGTAATATTTTAATTTTTTTAAAAATTCCTTTCACATGTCAAATTTTTCTTTTTAAATTTAGAATTAAAATTGGAAAGTAAATTATTTTTAAAATATTTTTATTATTTTAATTAACTCACTTTGATTCCAGTAAGTTAATTAAAAGAAACTTATAAAAAAAAATACTAAAATGAATACCTAAAATGGTTAATGAATTTTACTAATTTGGGTTTTTTAGTATATGTACAGCAGTGTGTTTGGATTAATGGGAATTTACATTCAGGTTAGAATTGAATTTCTCATTTAAATATACAAAAATTTATAGATGTGGATTGATTGAGATTCAAATCCATTTTTTATTATATTTTCTTTGTGGTTTCAAATTCCCTCTACATTATAGCCATTTGAAATTTCATTCATTTCAAATCTCTTGTTATCTTAGTTTCTCACTATTGATATTTCAATGGCTTTTGTGTTTTTTATTTATATTTCACTCTCATTTCTTATCAATTGAAAAATATAGGTTAACTTATTACTTTTAATTTTTTGTTTTCCTTTCCAATATAAACTTTTCTCTCATCTTCATTTAAAATTTTGTAAACTACCCAAATAAAAAAATTGAAATACATGAATTTTAAATGTAAGATTTGAAATTTTAAAATCTAAATTCATCAATCCAAATGCTACTTTAATTTAGTTTAGTTGATGGATGTCTTTCAATTCAACTCTTTATTATAAATCATTTATAACTAATTCATGGAAAATAAATTACTTATATTATTGAAATTGTTTAAAAAGTGCTTTAATCTTTTTTACTTCTAATAAACAGCTTAAATTTAAAATTCAAATATTCTTTATCTTTTCATTTTAAAAATTAAAAAGAAATACATATTTAGAATAAAACAATTAATGTTACACACTCTTGTAAGGTGTCTTCATCTCTTGTATTTAAGATCATAAAATTCTTCTAAACTTTACTACTTCTCTTATTCTTAATATAATACTAAATTGACAAACTTCATGCTTATTAAAAAAAGTTAGTTATAACCTTAAAATTGTAAAAACTTTTGTAACTTTCTAATTTTACTATTATTTATAATCAATGATTGTAATAAATTATTGTTTTTTTTTTTGGTGCCAAAACAAGTTTTCATTTTATTAATATCAAAAAAAGAGAAGTACACACTAACAAGAAAAGGCAAAGCGAAAGGAAAACAATAAAGCCCTCTGCCATTCACATCCTTAAGGCTTTGAGCATCATTCCTCTCCAGAAGCTTAAAAAGAGCTTCACAATTAGTCTCCAAAACAACCTGACACCCTTCGAATTCTTGCATTAAGAAAACATTCATCAGACCTCTTCAGTTTATTGTACACATATATCTTATGATCAAAGGCCATTGTTACTTTTCATTTTCTCTTCTCTCACCGGTCTTCTCATCTAAACAAATTATAAGCGTAGATATCTTTTTTAATGAAAATTCAATCCTTAATTCACCATACTATGAAAAATCAATTCAGTTTGTTAGTTTAAATATAGTTTTTATTTCTTCACATCACTTAAATTTAAATGCAATCCTCTTTCAAAGGCATAGAGTGGTCTTTCATTTTTATTTTCCCTTCCCTCTCTAATTTTAATGGTCTTTCATTTTAATAGTGTATAAAATTATTATTATAATATTATATAATATTACATAAATAAAAGGATATTTTAGGATAGTCCTCCATTGTTATTTTCCCCTTTTTGGAACCAGTCTCTCGGATGGGCATTAGCATTACCTTCACAAATTTAGCCTAGAGAAACAAACTACCCAGGATCCAAAATATTCTGCTTTACCGAGGTTCTACGATCAATTAAACTTTAAAAATCTACTACTATTAGCCTATTACCAATTATAATATTACATGTAAAAGGATATTTTAGGATATCCCTCCATTGTTATCTGCTTCTTTAGGAACCAATCTCCCAGATGGAGCTTGTCAGATTTTCGTTAATTGAGCGGTAAAAATTCATCAAGCACTTAATTTGCATTTTTATTTCATATAGTTTCAATCATTTTTCGCAACCTTCCACATAAAAAAAAAAATAAAACAGATAAAACTCAATAAAAGATGGCCCCACGGAAAATATAAAATATAAAGTTTAGAAACACAAGAATACGACGTCGTCTACTTCTGGATGATGAAGGAACCAAACTGCTTCACGAGGCTCCGAGCCTTCTCCTTCGCCGGATCGTACAAATGGAACACGTGGGTTTCTCCTTCTGCTTCCACCATATCCACCTCTCCTTCCCACTCACTGTTCTTCAATGCCTCGTAATACGTCCTCCCACGGTCCACCAGAAAATCGTTCGCCGCCACCATAACCAGCACTCTCCGGCAACCCAGCCGTCGCAGATTCGGATCCTTCGCCGGATTTATCTTCGGGTCATCCAGCCCCGCCATCGTCGGATACAAGAACGCGATCAGCTCGTCGCGTCTATCGTTCCCGAAATACGGGTGGATCAGAACGATTCCGGCGAGGTTCAATCCATTAAGACCGTCGATGCCGACCTGCATCGCCATGCTGTGCGCGATGTTCGCGCCTGCGCTATCGCCGGCGAAATACAAGCACCTGAAATCCGCGTGGTCATTGAGCCAGGGCTCCGACCCAACACCGTTCGAGTGTGCCGCGGCCCATTTGATCGCCTCCCACGTGTCATCGTAGGCGATGGGGAGAGGGTGCTCCGGGGCTAACCTGTAGTTGACGGACAGAACAACGGCGTTTGCTTCGGCGGCTATGGTGTTCAGGTGGCTGTGGTAAAAGGGATGAAACGCCGAGCAGATGCAGAACGCGCCGCCGTGGATGTAAATTAGCAAGGGAAGCTTTTCTGCAGTGCCGGCAGCCTTGGGGAGGAACATGCGAGCGGATAAGTCGGTTTCTGGGTTGATGGTGATGTCTTTGGATTGAACGCCGGTGACAGGGTCAATGCCGGCGGGCACTTTATCTTGGCCCATGAGGCGTTGGACGCGGCCGTCTTTGTAGAGACGGAACCAGGGATGGAAGTTGCGGAGGATTTGATCATCATCAGGGGCTGAATTGGGATCCATGGAAGGAGCTTGTGAGGAAGGAGATGGAAGAGAAGAGAAAGCGGTGGAAGAGTGGTGAGTGATGGTAGTTCAGTTATAAAAGGCACAGGTTAATTGATTAAAGCACCTACGGCACCTTAGCATCCATATCGGTTTTTTTTTCTTATTTTTTTGTTCACAAATAAAAACGGTTGGCCACTGGTCGGGCCAGGCAGAGTCATGAATACGGACATCCACTTTTTTGGCCACATTTTAATATTGAGAAGAGAAATTCTTGAGGTGGTCCACCATCTGCCCAATAAAAATACATCATATCAAATAATTTATTATTTTATCAATGATAATAAAAAAAGATAAAATAAAAAAACTTTAAAATAAACAAAATCATTAAAAATAATATTATATAAAATTTTATTTTATTGAATTAATACTAACATAATTTATTTCTATTAAAAAGATTATAAATGATATGATATATAAGGGTTGTAAAAAATTTTTTATTGAGAATTAAAGGCTAATTTTTTTATTGATTATTTTATTATCCATATTCGAATTGAGCCCATTCTTCTAGAAACTCACGAGCTTTCAAAATGGTTTAATTTATGAAGAATGATAGAAAGGTCTAAAAATGGTAAATTAATTTAAATTAAGTTTTAAGTATTAAAATTTTAAAAATTTGTAATTCAATCTTTTAATTTTACAATTTCATTGTAATGAATTTGTAACTTATATTTTAAATTTTAATATGATTAACAACGAGTTTGGTACTAGAGACTTAATTTGAATTAATTGATCATTTTAGGACCTGTTTGTCATTTTCCCTTTAACTTATTATACAAATTTATAGTACTCTTTGGACTAATAGAGGACTGGATAAAATTGAATTTTGGCCTAAATTGAAATCTTATTTCTTTCATGAAAAAGATTAGGTTAGATAACTTATAATCTAATTTAGTCTTGTTGTAACTTAAAGATTAACAAAACCAAACTTAGTTCATAGGATCAGGAGATTAGTCTTAGTAATCTAGCACTCATTTAAATTTTATTTTTTGTTTTTTCTTTTATGAAAAACAACAATTCATTTCATCCTGATAAATTCAATTAAAATAATAAAAACACTTATCATAAAAAAATTATAATAATTACCAATAACAACAACAAATATTTCAGCTACAATCCAAATGATTTAAATTCATAAATTTAATAGCAATATTAACAACATTCAACAAACTTCAACAACATATCTCATATACATTACAATAACAATTTAAATTAAAATTATATTAAATAGAAAGGTAAAATGTCAATAAAAGAAATGTTGTATTTAAACTCCAAACTATTCAAATATATTAAAAATAATTAAAATTATATTAAAGTAATTTTATAGGATCGAATTGGATTAAATGGTTTAAAAGCTTAGTCTTCTGTCCAATCTAACTCAAGAAGTTTAATAGACTGGAATAGTAATAATCATATTGGTGGCAGACAATTCCAACACTAGCCATAGGTAAAAGTCATTGACCATATCTGTTGCTCATTGTGGATACATAGATGTAAGGCAATTTTTCAAGGCACCCAATACAACATGTGACATATCTTACATGGTTTGTAGAAGAAAATTGATGGAGGAAAGAGATTTGGAGCTTCTCAAATTGCCACATGATACTCCAAGAGACAATCATGGATACAAATGGGTTTCACCACTGCTAGGGAAATTCATAATAGACATTGATGCTTCCTTAATTCAATCTCAAAATTGTTCAGCTTGTGGTAGTTTAGTAAGAAATTTTGAAGGAGAGTGGTTGAGTGGGTTTCTTTGTAATCTAGGCTATCTACCAATTATCATTGCACAAATCAAAGCTATTAAATATGGTGCAAAACTGAGCTTAAGAACTCTGAACAGGCAATTATATATTTTAATTCTTTCAATGCCATTCTCTATGTATATCAAGGAGTTCATGCTGCTCATCCATATTATGAGGACATGTCTAAAGCACAAAAATTGATTGCTAATCATAGAGGTCTTAAGCTTCTCTATGTCCCATGAGAGGTGATGTCCCACACAAATTTTTTGGCTCACATGGCTCACAACTCTTCAAGTGGGATGTTGTTACTTCTTGACCCCCTTAGAGAATGCAAACATTTACTGCTTCTTGACCATAGTGGGGGTTTGTTTCATTAATCTTTTGCTTGCTTCATTTTCTGTAACTATTTTCCTGATGAGAGTCTAAAGTGGCATGTAATGTGGCTTTATGTATATATGTTTGCGTAAAGATCAGTAATATTTAAAAGAAGAACGGAGCCAAGAAGAAGTGTGGCTATTTAATTTTCATTGTTAAGTAAAAGAAGAATGGAGCCAAGAAAACTTTCTTCGTATTTGATCGTGCACCTATATCGTGGCTGTTTCTAATGCTAGATACTGAATACAGCAGCGAAAACAGATTTTGATATATATATATATATATATAACTGCTTATACAGTATGCACACATGCCAAAATCTCTAGAAATTTCCATCTTTTAATCTATCTTTTTAAGCAAGCCTCTTCAATATGTGCGCGCGCAGCTTGAATAAATTTGGAAAATTTAAGGTTGAAGTTAATAAATTTTTTTAATGTGGATTTATTCAAAACAGCCCAAATATAAAGAATCATTCTAAAAAATATATTTAATATTAATAAATTTTTTAAGTTTTAGATCCTTTTATACTAAGATGTCATATATATTAGTACATTGTTATAGATATTTTTTTAAAAGTTAAAAATATTTATAATGTCATATTTTTATTATTTTTAATCGATAAAATATCTTAAAATAATATTTAAAATGTATTTTAATAGTATTAATTTTAAAATTTTAAGACCTATACTTTTAAAAAGAAGTTTGAATCTTCTACATCATTTAAGAATCCCAAAAAATATATTTTATATTTTTAATAATATAAAAAATTAAATTAAAATTAACGTTAAAAATAAAAAATAATTTGAATATTCTGGCCGGATTTATTATGTGGACTTTTCTTAAAATTTGGATTTATTAAGGTACCATGGAGTCATTTTCACTTTCTCAGGTCGAATTATTGAGATAGGTACCACTATGCCAATAGTGTCAGTCCCAGACGATGGGGAGTGGCGAGTAATCAATCATTGTCGCCACCCCACTTCACCGGCTACATGAATAAAGTATTAATGAAATTAAAGATCTTTGCCTCCCGCTTTGAAGTATTATATTGCCAAACTAATTGATTCCCGTGCATTGCACATCGGAAGATATTTTAATATTTAAAAATAAAAATAAAAAAGAATTTATTTTAATGTACTCATTATTATTTTTTTGGGAAATTGCTAGTAAGTTTCTTATTGGCACTAATATTGCGCCGAAAGATCAAAGTATCAGTGTGCAAACAGATAAGATAAGATTAGGGTACAAAACAAATAGTCATGAAATCTCAAACCTATCTATTTGTACCGGGCAGAGTCAGAATTTGAAAAATAAGAGAGGTTAATATTAAAAATATATATATACTATGGAGTTTTTATAAATTTTTAAAAAAATTATTTATATAATATTAAAAAAATTTTAAAAATTGGAGGGCCACAGCCCCTGCAAATCCCCTCAGCCATTGTACTTGTGTACGGTCCTTTGAATACCCAACATAATTCTGACTACAATAAGAAACATACTAGCAGTTTTCTCTTCTTGTTTTTTTTTTGGGGGGGGGGGGTGTTGGGGAATGTACTCAGTATTAAATAATGGTTGTTTTTTTCTTTTTACAAAGTGTAGGTGTAGCTTGGGATGTTCGTTGGCTGCTCACATTTGTGTTCTTCCTTTAATTAATAAGGTTAAAATATATTTTTATTTTTATATTTTTCTTCAAAAAATATTAGGTACTTTGTACTAATAAGTGAGGGTATTTTTTTAAAAATTTTTTGCTCTTTTAAAAAATACCCTACTTATTAATGTAAGGTATCCAGTGCTTTTTAAAAGAAATTACATAAATAAAAATACAATTTAACTCTAATTAATAGGTTAAGAGATTTTAAAATTACAAAAGTGCAAATCACTGTAGAGTCAAATGAAAAAGGAAACAGAAAGAGAGACTATTCCCGCACGTCTTTCCCACCATTGAATTCCAGCGGAGCTATTCTTTATTATACATGCAAAAGTAAGTAAGGTAGTGTTTCTTTCTGGCTAAAATGCTGATATATTTGTTTTCGATCATCTAAGTGAGTTTGTGTATAAGGACATGGGATTTCATGGCGAAGAAAAAGAAGGGCTTGGGCGTTAAATTAATTAGAACAACCACCACACTAAACCAAGTAAATGGAGAACTTGTGTTGCATGTGTGATCTCACTTAACCATTTAATTGACAGATATTGGTCCAAGTTTTTTTTTTTTTGGGCCATGAGTTTGCCAATTTGTTCAAATTTCAAAACTATTAAAAACTTTTGAACTCGGTTAAATTTAGGCAACTATTAATTTATGAAGGAAAAAGTATACTTTTGAACCTATAACTTCATACAAAGTTTTAATTTAATTTCTTAATTTTAAAAAAATATTTTTTTCTGTTCTCTAACCTAACATAGTTAGTTTTAAATAATTATTTTTATGTCAATTATTATTATTTTAAAAAATTACACTTACATATTAACATTTGAAAAACATTTTGTTAATGTTTAAAAGTTTAATGTATAATTTTTTTGTGATGAGATTGATAGTGTTATGCTTAAAAAATTAAAAAGATACTTTATAAAATTAAGAGACTGAAATAAAATCTCATATAAAATTAAAAGATTAAAAACATACTTTAGCTATTTATAAAATAACACACACACATTTAATATACACATATTGATATTGGTATATTAAAATGCCATGCATGTTTTTTAAATGGATCTTCTCTTTCTCCTTTTGTTAGGATGCGCATGAACTCTCGAATTTTATCTTAAATGATCTGGTGGACATTTTGGAAGGCTTCAAAAGAGATCAAGAAACCTCATCACGGCCTTTTAATCCTGAATCATGACTTATGTAATGTACATGTATTAATATTTTGCTCAATAGAGATTGAAAAAGTGAGTCAAGTACAAAACATATATATTTGGTGTTCCTCGCATAGATTGGATGGTTCAAAATCTATTATTTTTAGACATTGTTCTAGAATTCCAATTTCATTAGTTATTTATTTTGAGATATTGTCTTTGAATTGAGTTATTCTGATCTGGTGCCAATAATTGTTGTTGATTTGTTAAAGCCTATATGCAAATGCCTTAATTAACTAAATATAGTAGTTGTTGCTAATGGGATCCTGTGCATGCTCAACTATATAAGAATAAATCCATAATAAATTAAAATCAATTCATAATGAATTGCATATTTTCGCCGAAGGAGGAGGTAATGGAAGGCTAAAAATGTATTGAGATAAAAGACATCAAACAAAGTTCAAGAATGCATGGGGCAGTTAAGTGAAGTATTTTAGATATTAACAATTAAAATATTTTTGTTGAAATATTCAAAGCAGTGCAACGTGTTAAAATAATTTTCATTAAAAAATTTTTTCTTCACGCTCACAAATTCTAATGTGATTTATTTTTGAATAAATTTTTTAAATTAGTTTAAAAAATTGTAATTTATTTGGTTTGAATGTGGGCACAACCCTACTATTAAAATTGTAATTTATTTTATTGATAAAATTCAAAAGCAAAATTAGATGTATAATGACTATAAGAGGCAATAATTTTATAATATTTATTTTTGTTTCTAATTGCTTCTTCTTAAAAAATATTGAATTTTAGATTGCAATTTAAGTGGTCTATATTTAACTATTACCTGTAAATTATAAAAACTTGAATTTTTATAATAAATTAAAAAATGTTAAATTTTAAAAAGCTAAATTAAATTGAGAGGACAAGGGAGTAAATTTGACAAAATTTTAAACACATGAAATATTTGATCTAATTTTTGCATAAACTCTGCAAAAACTCATTAAGGTCTCATGTAAATCAAAATAAATAATTTTTAGACAGTTAAATTAAAAAATATAATGCCTTAATCAAGTTTTTTTAGCCAAAAAAAGTCAATTTTATTGATTATAAAAAAATTACACTCACTAATCAGGAAAGCAATAAAAGCAACCTATACAAACAAACTAGCAAAAAGTAAAAGAAATCAATTAAACATATGGTACAACCTAAACCAAAAGAAAATAAAAACATAAGACCAAAACAGAACAAGCCAAACAAGGATTTCAACCAATGCCTTCCTTGTCAAACTCATTCTCACACAGAGTCAAAAGCCAACACCTCACTCAAAAAGGATGGTATATCGCCCAGCCAAAAATACTGTTACATCCCTTTTCTTGCAAATACTGATAAAAGATCAGCAGCTTTATTCCCTTTCCTAAAAACTAAGGAAAAGTTCACCCTAAGCATAGACTCTTTAAGCTTCAGGATCTCCTGTAGCATATCACGAGTTTTCCATTCACATCCCACAGCTGAATTCTTTTGCAACAAATTAAACAAAACCTTGCAGTCAATCTCAATAACCACACAAGCCTCAGGAAACTTATCTTTATGCAACAAAGCTCCCCTTAAAGCAAGATACTCTATCATAAAAGGAGAAACAGCATCCACCTGTAAACCCTAAACCCAGACCACTTAAAAATTAGCATCACAATCTCTACAAACCAAGCCAATCCTTGCCTCCCTAGTCCCTTTAACAAAAGAGCCATCAATATTAAATGTAACTACACCCTTCTCAAGAACAGACCATCGAGCAACTCTAACAGGAATTGAGCTAAACACTTTCCTGCTACCCTTTTCCTCCTTAATTCTAGATTTTCGAAACTCCTCAACTTGCAAGAAAACAAGACTGACCACCTCCTTTACATCCACCTGCTCCCCTCTAAACACCTAGTTACATCTCTTCTTCTAGATCCACCAACACATTGTAGCCAAGATCGATTTACAAAATTCATCAATCACATTACCAGCAAGCACCTCAGCAAGCCAATCCTCCACTCTTGTAACAGACTATTTACTAAATTAAAACCCCAATACATTTCCAAACCAGCATTGTTTAGCCCAAGGACACAGAAACAAGAGATGCTCAATTGTCTCCCTCCCATTTCCACAAACAGGACAACCAGGATCTTTAGCACAAGATTTTCAAAACAAAGCATCTCTTTTAGCCACTGTGCCAGCACCCAACCCCCACAAAAAATGTGGGATTTTTGGAGGTTGAAACCTTCCAAATACACTTCCAAAGCTATTTAGGCAGATGATAAGAAGACCTAGGATCTTTTGGTTTGGTAACCTCCTTCAACCTTTTAGCCACCCTATAACGTAATTTTACACTATAGCAACCATCTCTATTTATCAACCAGACCACGCTATCTTTGCGTGATTGGGCTGGAATAGAAATTTTCAATATTGCCTCCTTTTCTAATTGAGATATTCCATGTTCAATAGAGTCCGACTTCCATCTGCCATTACAGATAAGTTCTACAACTCTCAACTTCTTCTCCTCCTCATTTCTAGCACTTGCACTAAGCTTCAACCCTTCAAACTCAGATGGTAATAGTCATCCTACATAGGAATATCCTTCCCATCCCCCACCTTCCAACACGACTTCTCTAACATTAAATCCCTACCCTCCAATAGACTTGACCATCCTTAAGAAGCCTTGCTTTCTTTCTTGGCTTTAGGAAAATCTCCTTTAGAAAAATAAATGCCTCTAAGAATTTTGCACCAAAAGTCATTTGGCAATCTCCAAGCAGATTTAGCAAGCAAAGCTTTGTTAAAATAAAGAAAATCATGAAAACCCAACCCCCTTCATCCTTAGACTTAGTCAAAGCAGACCAACTCCTTTAATGCATAACACCCTCCTCTCCCTTCTGACCCTACCAAAAACCAGATACAAGTTGGTCAATTTCCATGCAAGACTTCTTAGGAAATAAAAAACAAGTCATTAGGTAAGTGGGAATCGAATTTGCCACTGCCTTAATTAATATTTCTCTTCCAGTAAAAGTGAGCAACTTTTGCTTCCAACCTTGCAACTTCAACCCAATCTTATCCCTTACAAAAGCCAAAGCAATAGATTTAGACTGCCCCTGAAGAACAAGAAAACCTAAATATTTACATGGCTGACTCGAGTCTTTGATCTCTAAACAGTCAGAAACCCTTTTCTTTACTCTGAAAGGAGTATTTGTTGAGAAAAACAAGCAAGACTTATCAAAATTCACCATCTACCCAGATGCTTCATAGTAAACATCCAAAATGTGCCTCGACACCATACAATTCACCATATTAGCATTCAAAAACATAATAGCATAATCAGCAAAAAAACAATGTGACAGCACAGGAGCCTTTCTTGCAAGCTTAATGCCCTTTAGATCCTTATCTTCAACATGAAATTTAATCATAAGGGATAAAACTTCAATAGCTATAATAAAAAGATAAGGTGATAATGGATCACCTTGTCTTACCCCACGTCCAAACACAAATGAATTTATACTTCTACCTGCAATTTGCAGATCAAGTGCTACAGAAGTTACACAATCCATGACCTACCTTACCCACACACTATAAAAGCCCATCTTTACCATTATAGCTTCAATGAAATCCCACTCCGCACAATCATATGCTTTACTCATATCAATTTTCAAAGAAAATTCCCATTTAGAACCAGATTTTTTGTTTTTCAGATAGTGAAAAGCTTCATGTGTTACTACCACATTATCTTGAATCATTCTGCCAGGAATAAAAGCTCTCTGATTTTGACAAATAATTCTATCCATGAGCAACCTCAGCTTATTAGTCATAATTTTGACAATAATCTTACAAGACATGCCTTAATCATGTTTGGTCCTAAGTAAAATAACTTGTGCTTTAATCACTTGTCAAGATATAAAGTTTAAAGAGAGTTAATTAATCTATTGATCTTGGGATATGATTGGATTAAAAGTATCATATACTTTTTAACGACAGAAGAATTCACATAGAAAATTATTGATTATTATTTTTAATTCTACCCTAGCAAATTAGTGAAAGAAGATTTAATTCTAATTTAGTATTTTTATATGGCTCTTTAAATGATGTGTTACTCTATCTAATTAAACGGTGAATATAAAAAAAATTATAGCATTACACGTACAAATATATATCTTCTATTATTTAAATAGTGGAATAATATGGCTCGATCAATTAGATTTCAAAAATTTAGTCCTTACCCTAGTTGATATATTAAAACGCCATGCATGTTTTTCGGCCCCAGATGAGTCCGAGAGATGTGTGCAAATTAAAACGAAGAGTGAGCAGCAAATAGCATACACAATTTGTGTAAATTATTTAAACAAAGAAATTATAAATGGATATTGATATCTTTACACATGATATAAAAACTGTGAGAAGTTATATACTCATTTTATAGACTCCATACAACAAATATAATTCACACTTATTCATATAATTAATATAATTCATAGATTATAAACATGCACACTTAAAATGCAATACATAAAACAAACACTTCACCCTAAGCATTATGGAGTCTCCACGGGAAAAGTGGTTCTTGGACGACAAACACAATTTATGATATAACAGATAGGTGATTTTTAATAACAACTAATACTAACAACAAAGATTATATACAAAAGAGGGAAATACAACTTATATACAAGAACGGAAGCAGTATTTCTGGGCAATGAACGAACCAAACTGCCTTACAAGGCTCCGAGCCTTCTCTTTCTCCGGATCGTACAAATGGAACTCGCGGGTTTCTCCCCCTGCTTCCACCATATTCACCTCTCCTTCCCACCCACTGTTCTTCAAGGCCTCGTAATACGCCCTCCCACGGTTCACCAGAGAATCATTTCCCGCAACCATAACCAGCACTCTCCGGCAACCCAGCCGTTGCAGATTCGGATCCTTCGCCGGATTTATTTTCGGCTCATCGGGCCCCGCCATCGTTGGATATAACAACTCTATCAGCTCACTTTTTCGATCATTACCGACATACGAGTGGATCAGAACGATTCCGGCGAGGTTCAACCCATTAGGACTGTCGAGGCCGACCTTCATAGCCATGTTGTGGGCGATGTTCTCGCCTGCACTATCGCCGGCGAAATACACTCGCCTGAAATCCGCGTGGTCATTGAGCCAGGGCTCTGATCCATCGCCATACAAGTGGGCTGCGGCCCATTTGATCGCCTCCCACGTGTCATCGTAGGCGATGGGGAGAGGGTGCTCCGGGGCTAACCTGTAGTTGACGGACAGAACCACGGCGTTTGCTTCGGCTGCGATGGTGTCGAGGTGTCCTGGGTAAAATGGATGAAAGGCCGAGCCAACGCAGGAGCCACCGCCATGGATGTAAATTAGCAAGGGAAGCTTGTCGGCAGCACCGGCGGTCATGGCGAGGAACATGCGGGCGGATAAGCCGGTTTCATGGTTGATGATGATGTCTTTGGATTGAACGCCGACGACAAAGTCAATGCCGGCAGAGACTTTTTCTTCACCAACGAGGCGTTGGACGTGGCCGTCTTTGTAGAGACGGAACCAGGGATGGAAGTTGCGGAGGATATGATCATCGTCAGGGGCTGAATTGGTATCCATTGTTGACGCGAAGACGTTATGGTGGAAGAGGATTGACTGGTGATAGTATGTCAAGAGACAGAGATTTATAAAGCACTTGCGAGAGTACAGCCTTAACCACTTTTTTGGTTGACATGTGTTTATCTTCCAATAAAAGGGGCCAGTCTTCGGGTGCGTCTGCTGCTCATCAGGTGACGCACCGTTTCTCGATTTAAAAAAAAAAATCTGGGCCATCCACTTTTTTAATTTATATTTATATTTATTAAAATTAAAATTCTTTTCTTTTTCAATAAATATGTTTCTCTCAATTTAAATAATACAAATTTAATTTAAGTGATTCATTTTAATATTAATTTTTGTAATTTTTATTTTGATAAATAAAAATATTAAAAATAAAGATAATCTCTTAATGGGCATTTTTTAATTTTTTTTTAGAAGATTCAGAGTTATAAATTTTAAATATGAACTGTTTAGCGTGAATCTGAATATCTAATTTATAAAAATTATTAAATTTTTTAATATTAAATTTAACTACCCAAATTAAATTCACTCAGATTGAAGTGGAATATATTTATATATTTTTTTTCAATTTTTATAATTTTTTATTTTAATAAATGTTAAATTCAAAATAAAAAATAAAAAATTGAAATCTGGCGTCCATATAAAAATTCGAACGATCCAGATCGCCACCAGTTGAACGCCAATAAAAACGGTTGGTCAAAAGAAGTCACGAAGACGTCCGCCGTTTTGGCCACAATTTAAATATTGATAGTTTGATGGGATTTAAGTGAGTATTCGACCGTTTTCTTTTTTTAATATTTTGTAGGAAAATTCTGTATAATTTTCACAAAATTTGGAGACGGTACGTGGAGGGGAGGTTTGTTAAAAACAAGGAGCAAGTCTACATAACTATCAGATGAAAATCGTATGCGACAAACAGATTACATGAGATAGGAAAATGTAAGTCAGGTTGCATTCAATTTATTTTCAGAGTTGAAAAATTCTAATCCAACCTAACTCTCTAGTCATTGATGGGTTAACAATAATTCCCATCATGAATATATAATATTGTATTTTATATAATTTATTATTTAAATTATTGTGTCTTATGAGATTATAATGCCAAAACTCTTTTATGTTTTTTCTTTGGTTCATTAAAGTTGTTGTAAAAAATAATATAGATTAAACAAGTCAATTCTAACCCATTAATTTATGAAAGTCCCTGCTTCATGTTTTTTCTTTAGTTTATTAAAGTTTTTGTAAAAAATAATATGACTTAAATAAGTCAATCTTAACTCATTAGGGTTAAGTCACTAGGCATGGTCTATTTAGTTTAGGAGCCAAGTCAATGAAAAAATATTCATTTTTATTCAGATCATTTTTTCCAACCCGCCCAAGCCTTGTATAGCATGTTAATTGAAATAATCTATATACCTTAGATAACAAATAACAAATAATATAAACAATCCATGAGAATTGTTCATGTAAAAAAATTAGACATATAATGAATATTGGTACACACATGTATACATAGGCATGCACGCATAATATAAAATTTCTAAAATCTAAAAAGTAAGAAGTTGTATTCTCACTTTCTTAAACTCCATGTAACAAATATTCTCACCGTTTAAAAATATAAAAAATTTTTTGAGGAGTTAAATGTTAAAAAATATAAAATATTTTTAATCTTTTAAGGTATAATTATTATTTTTTTTTAGAAATGTCTCTATTGACAGTAACTTTATATTTATTATAAAAAATTTAATAAGAATAAATATAAAAAAATAAAATTAATTTAAAAATAAATAATTACTTTATTAAAGGTCGGTTAAAAATGCTATATATTTTTGCTATATATTTTTACATGAAGTGAGTATAATTTTCACACAGTTAGTTAGTTATATGGTATAATCCAGGGATCATAAACACTCACATGAGTAATGCAAAATAAAAAAACAATATGTCTCCTTAAGCATTGAAATAGTCCAAGATTCGGCCACACCACCCCGGAACAAGAACCTGAACCACAGAACTCTAGTACTTCATTACAAACTCGGCAATGAGATTAAAAAGCGGGCCCACCCGCTCACTATTCGGGTTGAACATGTGAAAGCAATGGTCCTCTCCTTCGGATTCAATCAGATCCACCCGACCGCCCCATTCACTCTTCCTCAACGTCTCATAGTACTTCACCCCCCTCTCTTTCAGCCCATCTTTCCCAGCCACACAAACCAGCACCTTCTCACATCCCATCTTGCTGAGATTCGGATCTTCTCCCGGGTTCAACTTGGGGTCATCATCCCGACCCGAACTCGTCGGGCACATAAACCTGTACATCTTATCTTCCTCGCTTGTCCCAAAAAACGGGTGCAGTAGAATCATTCCAACTATCTTTACGCCAGCCAATCCCGTGGCGCCAGCTCGGACCGTCACGTGATGGGCAATGTTGGCGCCGGCGCTCTCTCCGGTTATGAAAACCCGATCGAGGTCCGGATACTGGTTGAGCCAGGGCTCGGGTCCTCGCCTGGTTGAGTGAGACGCGATCCACTGCAACGCCGCAAACGAATCGTCGTAGGCTATGGGGAGAGGGTTTTCTGGTGCGAGTCTGTATTCAACGGAAACAACGACGGCGCTGGTGAGAGTGACGAGAGAAGTGATGTATCTGTGAGTGATTACGTCAAGAGCCGACCCGATGCAGAAGCCTCCGCCATGGTAGTGAACCAGAAGCGGCAATTTGTGTGATGAAGAGTGTTGAGCAAGACTGGGGAGAAAAATTCGGGCGGAGACGCCGGATTCAGGCGAGAAGACGACGTCTTTGGTTTGAATTCCGGTGAGGGGATCTACGCCGGGCGGGACGATAGGGGCGTTGGCGCCGTCGAAGGAGTCATGCCTCAGGATTCGACCGTCTTTGAAGACTTTGAAGAAAGGCGGGAAATCATGGAGGATATCGTCATTGTGTGAGGCCATGAGGGGATGAAGTTGAAAGTAAATTGAAGGCAATAGGTTGCTGAAATAATGGAGAAATAGGACACAAGATAAGAGCACGAGGAGACGTGGACCAACCTCCATTCAAGAACTTCCATGGCTGCAGGTATGAATGGTTGGTGAAACGTTTGGACAATGCCTGGGTTGAATGACGGTTGCTTTTTGATATTTATATAACTATCACTCCCTCCGTTTCAATATATATATATATATATATATATATATATAATATTACATAATTTTAAAAAGATAATTATTTATAATAATTATATTTAAAAATAAAAAAATTAAAAAATTTACTCTAAATAATCAATATAAGTATGTATTAATCATTTTTTATCAATATAAATTATAAATAGTGATTTAAAAAATATATAATAAATATTTATTAAAATAGATGATTTTACTTATATAAAAAAGTAAAAAATAATAAATTTTTATATAAATAAAAATAGAGGAGGTATATGGTAATGATACATGGGTGAGAAGTTAAATGAATATTTTTTTTTATATAATTAATGGAACTTGTGTTATACGAAGGACTTGTGATGGATCATAAAGATTCAAAGTGTGAGCGAGTGCATTTAAAAACCCTGGAGATAAAGTAAACATATGTGTGGGGGGCAATTATCTACTCCCTCTGTTTTTATTTATAAAAAAGTTATTATTTTTAATTTAATTTTGTATATAAATAAAATTATATTTTTTAATAGATATTTATTACAAACTTTTTGAAATTATTTTTAATAATTTTATCATTCATACTCATAAAAAATAATTAATAAAGGTTTGATTAATACAATTAATAAAAAGTATTGTAGTCTAATTTTTTATTTTTAAACACAATTAATATAATTAATTAATTTTATTAAATTATGTAATACAGTTTTTTTTTCTATAAATAAAAACAAAGAGAATATCAACCTGCAAGTTTTATATGCAGGTATTGTCAATTTAGCTTGCAATTAGAATAAAAAAAATATCCCGTAAATTGAAGTAATTAACTAATACTGTAAGTAATAACTAATTATATTTTGAGAATTGAGATATCCGAATTTTTCCCGTCAAGGTAATATAAAGCTCAATTGCCCAGCAATACTAACTGTAATACTGCAGTGTAGTTTTTTTTTTTTTCTTTGGCCACAACAGAGTCATACTACAATGTAGTTTAATTTGCACACCACAAACACAACATGGATAGATAATACTCCAAATCTCCAAGATTAATCCATACCCAAGTCGCCACTTGGAACCACGCAGCTTTAGGACTTGGTTACAAAATCAGCAATGAGATTAAAAAGCGGGCCCACCCGGTCGCTATTAGGGTTGAACAGGTGAAATGAAAACAATGATCCTCTCCTTCGGATTCAATCAGATCCGCCCGGCCGGTCCATTCACTCTTCCCCAACGTCTCATGATACTTCACTCCTCTCTCTTTCAACCCATCTTTCTCAGCCGCGCACACCAACACCTTCTCACATCCCATCTTCCCCGATCCGGATCCACTCCTGGGTTTAACTTTGGGTAATCATCCCGACCCGAAATCGTCGGGCACATGAACTTGTGCATCTCATCTTCCTCGCTTGTCCCGAAAAATGGGTGCAGTAAAATCATTCCAACTATCTTCACGCCAGCCAATCCAGTGGCGCCAGCTCATACTGCCACGTGGTGGGCGATGTTGGCACCGGCACTCTCTCCGGCTATGAAAATTCGATTAAGATTCGGGCACTGGTTGAGCCAGGGCTCGGGTCCATGCCCGGTCGAGTGGGACGCGATCCACTGCAACGCGGCAAACGAATCGTCGTAGGCAATAGGGAGCGGGTTTTCTGGTGCGAGCCTGTACTCGACGGAAACGACGACAGCGTTGGTGAGAGTGATGAGAGAAGTGATGTATTTGTGAGTACTTACGTCAAAAGCTGATCCGCTGCAGAATCCTCTGCCGTGGTAGTGAACTAGAAGCGGCGATTTGTGTGGTGAAGAGCATTGAGGAACGCCACTAGGGAGAAAAATTCGCGCGGAGACGCCGGATTCAGGTAAAAAGACGAGATCTTTGGTTTGAATTCCAGTGACGGGGTCTACGCCGGCGGGGATGACAGGGGCAGGGGCGCCGTCGAGGGAGTGGTGCCTTTGGATTCGACTGCCTTTGAAGACTTCGAAGAAGGGAGGGAAATCGGAGGATCTCGTCACCATGTGAGTCAGCACTCTGCTTATTGAATTTTCGAGCCATTCGTTCAAGATCAAGGAATAAAGATCGCAGACTTCTTGAAGAGTGTGGTGCCACTTGCTACCGCTTGAAGTCAAAAACTGCGAGTTGATATCTTTATTGGTTAGCCACTTTTCTTTTTTCTTTTTGGCCAGTATTGGTTAGCAACTTGACTTGAGGATTTGATTAACAGTAACAGGGCTTTTAGTTTACACTTTGAATATCTATTGTAATTAATTAATTATATGCTGTTATAGTTTTTGCATTTTATAAAAAAAAATAGGGATGCATTTTTAGTGAAGGGATTGAGTTAAGTTTTTTCAACTCATTTATTTAGCAAGCTAACCCAAATTGAACCCACCAAAATTTCAGCCCATGTGGGACGACCCGTGATTTGTCTCGCAGTTGGTTGGGAAGCCATGGGGGAATGAAAGAAATTGAAGGAGTGCAGGACCAACTTCTATTTTAAAGGGTGATTGTCCAAGTCAATTTAACTAAGAATCTCGTGTTCGAGCCTTAGAATGTGTAGCAACATAGCTGAGCATGCAAAGCATGCTTTGTCAGTGACAAAGAGTGCCTCACCTAGGTGAAAATTTAAATTAGTTTGCAGTGAACTTGGTGAATAATGAACCTATCATACTCAGACGTTTCAGGATATTAGGTGCAAAAACAAAAATAAAAAAAAATTCTATTCCAAAACTTAAAATTCATAGTTGCATGCAAGTATTAATGTTTGGTGAAACCAATGTTTTTAACTGCGTCCAGTTGATGTGGTGACATTGGTTGAGTGGAATGGTTGCTGGCAAAACACACGTGTATATTTCGCCAACTTTATTGCTTAGATATTTAGCATATATCATTATTTTTCCTCTTAAGTTATATTACTCAATACGGTCCACAATATAAAGTATTTGATAATTATTTTATACATTTAAAACAATTAACAATTATTTGAAACTTTAATATTTCAAAAAAAATTATTGAATTATTTTTAATTACATTTTAATTAAATAGTTTATATAAGTATTTTGATAATAATAATTAAAGTTCTCAAATTTTAATGGATTATTGTTTAGAAAAATAATAAATAAAGTAAGGATACGATTACAAAAATTATCAAAATTATTCAATATTCTATATTTTAGATAAAATATGATTTGCCTTTTAAATGCACTATATTATGAACAAAAGGGAATATATTTTAACTACTTTAAAATCCCACCAAATGTATATGCTATGGAGAAAAGGCAAGCCAACAGTGCTTTGAAGTATGACAGGAACTCAAGGTTCAAAACTAAAAGAAACTTAATATAAACTGTATGATTAATCTCGGCCAACAAATTAAATCCTTTTTAGTATTTAAATAAGGAGTATTATTTGAGCCGAGGACATCAAATATTCTTAATCTGTTGCCTGGTTCACTTAAAAATAAAAATAAAAATGTAAAAATTTAAACGTCATGAGGATTGTGATTTGTTCTGTTCCCAAATATTTTCAAAAGCTCGGGATTTTATTCCCGAATATTTCTTTAGATGTTATCACCAAATAAATGGTTTTGGGCACTGCTTCTTAAGATAAATTAAAGTTCACATTTTAATTGTTTGATTACTAATAAACTTGTTGTAGGGTCTTGAAGGTTGGTCTATAATAAGTAGTTTGTGATATTTTCCTAATTAAAAAAGTACTTGATATATTAAAAATTTGATAACACAACAACGTAATTGTTAAATCGGTGAAACATTTCTTGTTGCAAAATTTTAACAAGTCTTTGATCAGCTTTTTTTTGTCAGAATTAATAATTTAATAATAAAATTTAGAATATGTAATTAGCTTCAACAATATTTGAGTATGGTCCCTAGCATCAGATCACGGATACCCAATAGTTATATCAGAAAAAAGTTACAGATCTTATTTTTATTTGAATATTGACTCGTCATGTCATGATAATATAGCCGATTCTGTTAGTTTTCATTTCATTCATTACTTTAATATTTAGGCTTTTCATTTTTTTGCCACTTATGCAGGCAATGGCAAACCAAACCCAACAAGAAAATAGTGCCTTCAATAGGGCCTCAAGTGTAAGCTTTGATGGACTTGCATACTCATTATGGGGGATCCATGCACAGCCCGTGAAGCACTGAATTGGAAGGCAAACCTTAAAAAATATGTGGATTGTATTTTTTGGGGCTAACTTTTGAAAGGAACAATATAATTTTTAATCTCTATTTTTTTTCAATTTTCAAATTAAAATTTAAATTTTAACTTGATACAGTTCATTTCATGTAATTTATTAAGCAATTATAATTTACAAGAATTGAATTGCATTGTATCAAAAAACTACATGGACTGAGATTTTTTTTTTTATGAGTAGAATGGAGATATTTTGAATGGAGAAACTATAGGATTGTGCTGTCTTAATTCAAAATTTAAGGATTGAATCGAAAAAAAATGTAAGGACTAAAGTTTATACCTTTTTCTTGTTGAAATTTCAATTTTGTGTGTTACAATAACAGGTGACAACTGGAGCAAGTTGTGAAGTTCTTAAAAGTTATTGCACGTTGCAACCCAATTACATAGCCGGGATAAAAAAAAAAAGTGCCATGTAACGTAAAGTGTATCACCAAACAACCAAACAGAAATAAAGTTATTTTCTTTTCCTTTTGGCTGGAAAGGGAAAACGAGTATGATGTTTGGCAGAGTGGGAGACCACGTGCCTGAATTGGTTGCTATCCATTTGCATTCCAATTCATACCTCTTCGTTATCTATTTGCTGTTTCTTATCGAGAGCGACCTGGCAATGGATCATGTCTTGTGAATACCGGGCGTTTATAACAAATTGGCTTGCTCATCAGATTCATATCGATCACAATAATCAAGACACTATAATTTTTAATGACCCACTTATTCCGTGTCGACATTTTTTGTGATTTAACTAGACCTAATTCTTCAATTCTCCACATGGGTTTGCCTTGTCCTTGAAATTTAAGAGAGAGAGATATTAACAAGACTTGAGTTTAATAAAAGGGGTTAAATTCTCATAAAGTCTAGTGTCCCATCATACATTGAATAAAATTGCTTTCAATAAAAATACACTTGTGTGTAACAAAAAAGAAAGAGAAAAAAAAAAAGTAGGAGTTGCTGTCTCTTTTGTTTCAACTGCTAGTATTATTAGTTCTAGTTCATGACGAGGACAGCCAGGTCCAGCCTGGTTCGGCTTCGCCAATCACGCTCATTGGACAACAATAATATCCTAGGATTTAAAAATTTCTATATCATGAGAGCCACTCCTGGTCCTGGAATGGGTTTTGAATCAGACTCACATTCTGCCCATAACACTTGCTCTGTGTACTACACCCAGCTCGCATTCTCCTTCTCAACATTTAAAGCCCAACATTCATATGTTTATTATTAGTACTTAACTTTGATTCCTACTATTATGTTTATTTCTTCATTTCCCTCCTCCTTTTTTCTCACTATCAACACCATGATTAAAATTGTAGCTAAAGTATGACAATGATTAATTAAATTTAATATTGGGTAATAATTTTGACTTTGATCTTACTCATTGAAAAGCTCTTACATCAAAAGAAATCAATCAATAAGGATAAGTATTTTCAAAAGCATAATAAAGGCCTGAAAAGTCAAGCAGCACGGGTCAAGCTCCAACAACTACCCAAGACATTTATAAATTGGCCTTTGCTTTTATTAACTTGATAATAAACAATTTAAAAATACTATTTTTATTTTTTATATTTTATTTAAATTTTGTTATAATGTTTTGCATTTTTTTAAGTATTTTAGATCTTCGTACCTTTTTTCTATTTACAACACTAGTTTCTATAATTTTAGTGGAAAATGTTCATATAACATAAACAATGTTAAGGTTACTGACATATCCATTAATATTGTTAAATTTATGTTGATGTGTTAAATGGATGTTGATTTAGACATTTTAATAAGCAAAACAAATTAAAAAAAGCTACATTAAATAAAATAATTTTTTTGAGATATAATACATTTTAAAAAATAAGAAAAATAATTTTTTAAAAAATTGGAGGTCTTAAAGTTTAAAAATCAAGATTATAATTAAATTTTAAACATTTTTAGAGATATTTTAAGTTTATAGTTTTTTAACTCAATGTCAACCTTTTTTTAATCTAATCTAGCTTTTTTTAATATATTTTGTTCATTAAAAAATTTAACTTAATCCTCATTTAATATATCAACACAAACTTACCGATATGAATAGATACATTAATAATTTTAATTCTGTTTGTGTTATGTTAAAATCCCTCTAAAATTAGGGGATCAACAATATATATGGAAAAAAAATATAAAGACTTGAAATATAGTAAAAAAAAAACAAAGAAAGAAATAAAGTTATAGGAACCTGAAAGAAGTGTTTTCCCTATATTATAATTGGAATTGACAAGATTTCTTCTTCTTCCAGACCATTGATCCACGTCGTTTTGCTTTGGCCTTTCTCTCGCTCAGCTTTCCTTTGCTGGAGCCTCCGAGCCGAGGATAGAAGCATGATGGAGAAGATTAGCGTGTGACCATCTGGAAATAAAGAAAGCGCAGGACAGCGTGCAACGGTCGAAGCATCTAATCATTCTGTTCTTCACGAGGAAAAGCTCAAAGCCATCAAGAACCCTCCTTTGGCTTTGCTTTTCCTTCAATCTTCGTGGGTTCTGCAGCAATCAGAGCTGACATGCTTTAGGAAGAAAAAGAAGAGAAGTTCAAAGCTAGTTTTCCCAGCTGCCCCCAATGCCTTTTCAATCGCTTTCTTTGTGAACACACCAGCAACCATGGCCGATGATCTTTCTTCCTTTGCTAAGGTTAGTTTCACTTAACTATGTGCTGTACTGTTGTCCTTTTGCCTTTGAATCTTCCAAAATCTGAGGCAAAATATTCTATATGATCATTATTTTTGTTTCATGGGGTTCTGTGTGAGATTGTTCGATCGGGTTGTTTAATAAATTGGAACAGATATGTACAAATTGAAGCTCCTTCTTGACCTATTGGATGGTTTCCTAAGGTCTTACTAGCATCTGACTAGCTCAATCGGTTCATTTCATCGTTTTGCTGAATCAA